ACACAAAAACATTATACCCTGATTTCCCATTTTCAATGGGTTCAGGGTATAACTAGCATACATAAGGAACATGCCTAAAGACTTTTTTTGCCTAATCTGTCGATAAGAGTTAATCGGACAAATACTTAAGTGGATCATAAAATCATTCGTCTAAAAATACACTATTATTACGGACGGTATACACGTTTATTATCCCTTTGCTATATAGAAAACAAAATGTATAAACAATGTATATAAAGGACTAGAGGATCCTGTAATTCTTATGTAATCCTCTTAATGGAACAATGTAAAACACAACAATTTTGTATATCTATATTTTATTAAAAATCAAGTGTCTCATATATGAAATAAATACGTATTTCAGCTTTAACATCCCACTCGAGCCGGAATTCGTTTTATTTGATTATCCCCGCCCACCTTGAGCACAGCAAACATGCCCTGCACAGTGTGGGCTTCGATGTGACAGTGATAACTCCAGAAGCCGGGATTATCAGAGATGAAGCGCAAAATCACGTAGCCCAGTCCGGGCACCTGCACAGTGTCCTTGGCCACGGCGGCATAGTCATTGGACAGGCGAGGCAGACGTCCACGTCGATCCAGCTCGCGTATCTGTGGATATATTAAAATTATAAGAGATTCGTATTATTAATTTAACTATTCACAGTTCTGGCTGCCTTACATTTTTCAAGTCGTTCTGGTTACCCAGCACTCCCTGGCCGACCAGGCGGAAGGTGTAGCCATGCAGATGGATGGGATGTGTGGGCTCCATGTGGTTGGCCACAACCATTTCGATGGCTCGATAGGCAGGCAGGCGCATGACATGAACACCCTCGCACAGCTCCCGGGCACAGTTACGTCCTTGTGCGGCGAGCGAGCTGCGATTGCTATAGTATCCATCGTCCTTATACAGATGACGGCCTTGGAGCAACGAAATGCCCGGTGAAATGTAGCTAATCTCATCGATCTGGAAGAGGAGTTCGCCATTTGGTGCCTGTCGTGTGCTCAGACTGGAGTAGTACGTCAGGAACTTGGTATAGCTTGACCAGGGCACGGGCTCGACGGAGCGCAGGGAGAGCGTGCCCACATCTTGGTCTTTGCTGAACTGCCGCAACGCTAACGAAGAATTCTTCAGGGGCTTGTAACGAAAATCATTGATGAATAGCGGTGGCCCGTCCTGATCTCTGGGCTGGCGGCTTCCCAGTATATCACCCTGGGGCAGCTCACTGCGAGCGGCTCCCCGATAGCTGAGCACCGCGCCCTGATACAGTTTGCGATCCGCACACTGCTCATAGCCTCGGACGCGCACCCAATAGTTCTTGGCATATTGGTTCGCCTCCAGCACAAAGTCGAAGCGCTCCGCTGAGGTCAGAAAGAAGCCGTCGGCCAGCACCGGCTCAATGTCATTGCCATCGGTGCTGATGATCAGCAGCTTGTGCTGCTCAATGGAGAACTCGACGGGACAGTTGAAGATGCCGTTGAGCACGACGCGCATGCGATAGCGATAGCCAGGCGTCACGCGCAGTCGCTCATAGCGGTGCCTGGCGTCCTGGTCGGGCAGCTGGCTGAGATGGTTGCGACCCTTGCCATTGATCAGTATGTTGCGCACCTGCTGTATGTCGTAGTCGTAGAATATATCCTGCACCATCAGGGCATGCTCCACCAGATCGTAGTCGTAGAGGCGCGCATGGGGATTTGCCTGATGAGGCTGGCGCACGATCAGATTGCCAGCCACGCCGAAGCCACGCTGCCAGCCCATGTGGCTGTGGTACCAGAGGCTGCCACTGCGATCGGCCAGGAACTCATAGCGAAACACCTCGCCCGGCTCCACCGGATACTGGGTGACGTGCGCCACGCCGTCCATTTCGGGACTGCGACTCATATGGATGCCGTGCCAGTGCATCGTCGTGGGCTCATTCAGATAGTTCAGCACATCGATGACCACAGTGTCGTTCTCACACAGCTCTATGGCCGGACCGGGCACCATCCTATTGACGGCCATGACGGGCGATGCAACGCCGTCGCCGTAGATGCACCTCTCGTCTGCACAGGCGCGCTCATCGAACTGGCAGCGCTGGCACTCGGGACCCAAGCGACGATAGTTGTGCACCACCAGCTGGTAGTAGCAGCTCTGGCTCTGGCCCTGCTGGCAAACGCGTCGACAAGGATGACGCTCGAATCCGCTGAAGCTTGATATATCCGCCTGGCCGTAGTCATCCTTCAGCTGCAAGCCAGCACTCAAATGACTCTCCTTATTGGTCTTGTTTCTGTGCGACCAGGGAAACGTGAGCCAGTCTATTTTCGCAGCCGACTCCTGCTCTAGCTCCAACTCCGGCTGCTGATTCTGCTGGGCCAGTGCGAAATTCACAAGGCACCATATCAAGCAGATTCGGTGCCATCTGTAATGGCTTTTACTTTTCGTAACTATCATGGCAAACGTCAACCTTCAACTGCGCCCAAAGGCCTAGTGCAACGCCCGAAGAAAGTTTGGAAATTCAAGCCAGGCCGAGTTGGGCATGCGCAGCACGTGCAAATCACAAAAGCTGAGCTGCATTTTATTTGGCTCTAATTGATTTAAGACTAAGAACCTCCAAATGACGTGTGATCGACGCACAGATACCCTCTCTGAGTGGAAGAGCCCAAGGATCATAGCTCGAGCTGAAAAGATTTGTTCACTTTCAGTGTAAAACTTAAATAGAAATTAAATGATTTATTTATTTATTTATTTCTTAAAGGTATTGACAGAATCGAGTGTCAATTTAAGTTAAAAAAGCCTAAATTAAAATAATTAAATTTTTGTGATATAATAATTTTTTTGAATATAAATTCTAATAATTTTTTTTTTTTTTTAATTTATATTAATAATCATATACATAAGTACATAAAGCATTTTTACATTTCTATAAAATGTATCCCAATTAAAAATTATTACATATGAAGAAATATACATACATACATACATATAAATATTTTAAAATTTCATTTCCAAATTGAAATTGTATTATTTGTATATTCACTTATGTATATATGTATGTATGTATGTATTTGAGAAAGTCTTCAGTAAAGAAAATACGAGTATACAATTGAAATTCTAATGATTTAATTGTTTATCATGATTTGAATTTGCATCATATTTATTTATATATTATTTCAACACAACATAATATTTTTAAATATTAAATACATATACAGATATGTCACCTGCTCATTAGGAAAAATAAAAACAAATTCTATATTATAAATAACTTTTCATTTATTTTTGTTAATTTATGTTTAAAATACAGATGAAATATTTGAAGAGTGAATCCGATTGTTATTTAGAGAATTTATGCCGCAGGTTCCACAATTTCGGGACCAGCAGGCGAGGTTGATACGGTCGGCGATACGTTGGCAGTACTCATTAGACTTATTACGCCACAGGCAATGGGCTCACCAACGGACATCTCCTCGTTCTGGTAGGCCAGGGCATTGGGCACGGACAGCGCCGAGGAGAAGACCTCGGCATTGAGCGCTGTGTTCAGGTCGATGGGTTTGCTGTGTATGACGACGGAACGGCCAACGATGCCATTGAAGCCAAAGAGCTGCAGGTAGATGCTCATAAACACGGCCGAGACTTTGCCGTCCGGCTTCACCTCCAGGTTGCCCAGCTGGCGAGAGGAATGTAAGCTTCGTGGCTAAACTGGATAGCTGGCAATGAGTTGGACTTACAAAGTTATTGGGAAACTGTCCGCCCGTGGATTTGCAGCCCTCGCTGACATCGCCGTATGTGTGTATGTGCAGTGCGTGCTTTCCCGGCGGCAGCCCGGTGATGTTGATGGTCACCTTGATGTCACTGTTGTAGGGCAGCTGCTGGAAGGTTATCATGCCGGCTGCACCCGCTGAATCACCCTCGCCGTTTAGTACGGCACCCGCCTGCCACTGTGGCACCTGCGAGGAGAGCGAGAGTAAAATGAGTTGTTTAGAGCCCGCGCACAGTGTGGCAAGAACCTACAAAGGAGTAGCCCACATATGGCGGATGCGGCTGGAGCAGTGGACTCAGCAGTGCGGCGGCACCAATCCCGCCAATGACCGGACCAATGCCAGCCAGTGGCACCGACATGCGCTCGTAGCGTTTCACCTTTGTGCCGGCCACCACTTTGATGTCGTCGATGTTGCGGGTCATATTAGCTGGCCCGGGTCTCAGCCGATCCAGCAAATTTTGCGCGCCGCCAGGCACAAAAATGCTATTTAATAGGATAAATGCCAATATGGGTCTGAAGCGGAACATCGCGGTTAATTGACGCTCTCGTATTGTGTGTTCTATAGAGATTCGTTGGATCCGTTGGCTCCACTGGGAAATGCTGCCGTTGTCTGTGAGTCTTTTGACCAAACTGAACCGAATGCACTGTGTCGGTTGCCATTTAGACGGCATCGACATGGATTTCATGCTGATTGAACACGTTAATTGCTTCAACTGCGTACAGTTGGCTATATCAGTCGTATGGATGATGACCACTCAATGGCAATTGAGTGTCGCGTGTGTGATGCTTGGTTACCTGTCTGTCTGTCCGTCCAGGGGCGTAGCTAGCAATCGCCGCCCCAATCTTTGTAATTCTAATTAACCTCAATCTAAAGAAAAATGATTGTAACTTGACAAATTAAAAATATATTTTTAAAATATTTGCAGTGTCGTAGAACCCCCATTTGTCCCAGTTATTGACGTCTCTGTATAATGGGAGTATAATTTCAGCTAGGGATAAAAACACATTTCCTAAATTAGATCAACATTAATCGTATTGAAAGCGAAAATGTTAGCTTGACAAAATTGAACGATATTATATATTTTTTATCTAGATGACACAATTGTTTAGTTATTTCGTTGCTCCCTATTAACAATTAACAATTGGATTCGTTTAGGTGTTTTAAAATATGGTTCAATTGGGTGATAGACAAGCGGGGAGGGTGAGTAAAAGCTATGGAAGTTTCTATCATACGAAATCATAAATAAATATCAATATTGGTAACTATTATAAGGCTGCCTTGAGTTATTGCTTTCGTCTAGATTGGTCAACGGAAACCTCCGCGTTGATTGTAACCGCCGCGGCCGCCGCCACCGCGTCCACCATTAGGGTAAGCCCCAAAGCCACTTCCACCGCCACCGCCACGTCCTCCTCCTTGAGGATTCCAGCCAGAGCCTTGCACACGTCCGCTGTTATTGATAAACTGGTCGCGCTGCTGTTGCGGCTGTTGTTCCTGATATTGTGGTTTCCAGTTTTGGGGACCACCACCTCGTCCGCCCCCACGGCCACCACCGCCACGTCCTCCACGAAAATTACCGCCGCCACCGCCACCGCCACCACCTCCACCACCACGACCACCTCCTTGGCCACCAGCACGTTGCTGTTGCCAGGATGGCATCTCTGGCGGCGGGGGAGCATGCTCATTGGCGCGTCCACCACGATCAGGCACACTTCCAATCACATGCTTCTCTATTTTAGATGCGGTATTCTTGCGCACATTCACTGAACTTGTCTTTTCAATGATCGCCAAATCCGCGCGCGCTGCCAGCAGCGCCACAATGTTGGTGTCATCCCCGCCATATTGTAGCTTTTCGATTTCCTGAAGTTTACGCTGAAAGCGTTCGCCAATCTCGTTTTGACGATTTTTCATGCTCTCTGACCATTGAAAGCTTTGAACAGTCGCCTCCAAACGGGTTAACATCATTTGACGGCGCAGATTATACTCGGCGTCCAGATCTCTGTGCATGGTCTCCAGAACACGCCACTGAGCATCGGTCAATGGCTTGCTAGTACTCAGCAAGGGTTCATTGATCACCGCCGGGCTTACTTGCTTCAGCCGTTGTACCAGCTTGGCCATCATTCGCTCGAACAGCACTTTGGCATTGATGTTTTTCGGCAACTCACCCAGCTGGAGGTCAGTTGTCAACTGCATCACAGCGTCCTGCAGATGAGATTCAGTCTTCGATTTCTTACTGGGCGGCTCGGCAGGCTGCAGCTTCAGCGACATCTTTGTAGCCATGAGCTCTGATGTAAGATAATCGAGAAGATGCAGAAGGGATTCTCGTGTCTGGAAACGTTCCGACATGGGCACGGCGACGAATTGCCGGTATGGGCATCCCAGCTCAGTCAGCAGTAGTGAAAGTTCAAAAACAAACTCGTTATGGTCCTTGCTACTGGAAGCTAAATGCTCGTCGGTTTTCCTCAGCACATGCAATTGATTGGCAAGCCAGTAAATCAATTCGCGCAATTCAGCGTTGCCTATGCCACTGTCTAAGTATTGGTTTAGACTCTTTTGCTCAACATTTTTATAGCCGAGCGCATTTAAAGAATCTATAATATCCAATTCGAGATCCATTGCCGGCTTTTCTTAATTTTTTCCAACGTTGTTTTCGTTTGCTTCCAGCTGCAAATTACTGATTGCTGGTCACACTCACTCAAGTGTCAGTTTTAACAGAGAAAAAGCGTAACATGTTTATGGCTGTAATTAACAGTGGACTAACAGTTGTCCGTTGTGCTCAGTTTAAAAAAAAACAAAATATTACTATTTATACTGTATTGTGGGATTTTGATTTAATAATAATTCACTTAATGAGCTATGGTGTTATGGTATATTAAAATATATAATTTCCCCATACTTTGTTTTAGATGGTTCTATCGCTCATTTATCGAATTGGTTGCTTAGAGAGTTAGAGACGAATGAACAGTCGAACAGGCTGTCATTTAGATATGACACGCTTGTTTTCAAAAGCATTGTTATCGCTATCAACATTAACCGCATCAGAATCGGTTTGTTAACATTAACGTTTACAGTGAAGCAAAGTTTATCCACTGACCAAAGAAGTATTCTTTGGTCAAGGGTTCATCTAAACATCTTGCAGCATATACATTCATATAACTTCATTTATTGTAGTTTATCAGCTTTAATATAATTTAAATATATATATATATCGGGTTTAATTTTTTTAAGTGTAGTATATATAGATATAATTTTTTCATATATATATATAATGTATATATGTATGTATTTTTTTGTAAAGCAGGAAGTTTTAGGATTCGCAAGAGTTACACCTTTGGTGTTACAAATTTTACATTTTTCTTTTACTTTTTTGTTTTACATACAACACTTACATAATTACTTAAAATGAACACACATATTTAGCTAATTAATGTATACAATCATAATCGTAATATTCAGTTACTTCATGTCTTCCAAGAGGCTCTAAAACTAATAGAAACACAATAATGACGTCTTACACAGATACAAATTCGTTTTCAAACACAAGAAAATGATACAAAGGAAAGAAACGAACAGAAGAAATACAAAAATTAGTTCGCTGCAGCAGCTACGCAATGGCACAAACATAAATTCCGCGCCAGAAGTTTAAATTTCATGCACTGGCGACATTTGCTTAAGTGTAGCTGTACTGGTTATCAATGGCGCGTCCACTGCATTCGGCTCCTGATGTTGCACCGCTGCTGCTGCCGCTGCCAGGCACTGCACCACTGCTACCACTGGCGACCGCATCACTAGCATGTCGCGTTGCACCAACGCCCTGATGCGGTGCCTGCAGTGAAGCATTGGATGCACGCAGATGCGGCTGATCGAGGAATCCTTGACCAACTGGCGGCGAATTGTGCGCGTTCAGCGATGTGGGATCCAAATGGAAGTAAACTTGCTCCGGAAAAAAGACGTGTGTTGGCTCCTGTGGCAGTTCAATTTCGTTTGTCTTTAGGCGAACACTTAGATTCATGGTAATCACTTCGTTGCACTGTAATTGATTGGATGGATTAGATTTCGCTTTGCAATTGAAATAGTTTCAGTATATGGGAATGGCTTCGACATGAAACATGCGACATTTACCAACGTACAAAAAACTCAAAAAATGAGTACGATTGAAAAAAAAAACATGTTCCAAGATAAAACGCTCAATAAAAATAAAATAAAAAATCTAAAATAAATGGAAGTTTCTTAAATATTTTCATATAGTAATGAAGACGTTCTGCAAATTAATTGTGGCACGTAATTTGAGATCTTGAAACATTACTAATATCTATGTATATAAACGAGCTTCCAGTTCAATATTTTTTATCAAGAATATTTTTACATAAATATTTATATTTTTTTTTAAATATATAATACCTAAGCTGTAAATCACTGCCTTAGGCAAATATACCTCTTCCTGATGCTCTATAAAACTACGTTGTTTATGGATTGTTTATGAAATGAAAAAACTTGCAAAATCAAATAAAGGAAAATAAAAACCATCACTGACACTGAATTGACTCCAAAATTTTGGCTATCTCACATGTCTCGGCGATGGGTGTCCATTGCTATTGCCAGAGCTGCCGGCGATGTTGCTCGCTCCAGGGTTCGCATCGGTGCCCGGGTCATGCGCAGTCGCTGACATTGTTGTTATGGGAGCGCTATCATTTAGCCTGCTCGTGTGGTGCACCCAATCGGTGAGCGTCACATCCGATGTGCCGCCCGACTCTAGTGGTATGGGATTGTGTCGGAAGTGTTCCAGCATCTCTTGAATGGTGGGGAACCACAGATGCTGAACTCGGCACTGTCCCTTTTCGGAGATTGTCAGCCGCAGATGCTTGGCACGCCCTTGGAAATTGAATGTCAGCACGAATTCGCCGCGTCGCGTTTCGCTTTGGCGTACCAAAAAGAAGCCATGACCCGCTGCCTCCGACTGTAGCACCATGCGAGCTGCTTCGGCGCGTGGCAACGTGCCGTGGAACCATGGAAACAGTCGCATTTCCGCCGTTAAGTCCGCCACATTTATATCGTTTTCAGTTTCGACCAGTTCGTTGCCATCGAAATTACTGGAGGCGGACAAACGTTGCTCTCCTCGGTCACCACGTGTCGGTCGCGAGGGTATTTCAGGCGGTGTGCTGCTCAGCTCATTGCTGGTCTGGGAAATGACATTCAAATCATTGGCGGAAGCCGCATTCGCGTTGCTGTTCCCGACTGACGCAACGGCCAAAGCGCTGTCGGCTGACTGCGAATTTACCAGATTGCCATTGGAGCCACCCAGCAGAGGACCTCCTTGCTGCTGATATTGAGGATTTTGTATGCCGCCCAAGGCACCACTAGCAGCGCTTGTTGTTGGATTTGGGTTTGTGGTCACCGGTGATGTTTGCATAGCTGCCGCAATGACTTCTGAATCCAGTATGGGTTGCTGCGTTGGCGGCGTTCGCATGCAATATCGTATTGTGGCCAACCAGCTACGCATGTCCTCGGCGCTCTCTGCTTCGATTACGTATTCCATATTGTTGTCGGCCTTCAGCACAAATGTGTTCAATCGATCCGGCATCTCCAGTGTGGTTGTTTCACGTGCCTCCGAAATCAGAAAGCAAAAAACACCACTTTGAGGCTTTGTGGATCTGGGCGGAGTATAGAATTCCAGCATGTAACCGCCCACGGCTTTGACGAGTGCCAGACGACACTTCTCCCATTTTTGTGTGCCCGTCGTCTGGTCTAGGCTCTCGGCAGTCAAATTATTGACAATGCCCTCCTTACGGCACTCCACAACTATTTTAGCCAATTTGGTTTTGTTGCTCTGCTTGCTGCTGCCAAGTCCGTCTATGTCATCCGAATTCTTATGAAAGAAAGCCTGCAAAAATAAAAGTTTCTGATGTTAAACATTGATTTATCTGTCTGGTGCGCATCTCTCGCTCACCTTGCCCTTTCGCAGACCCTTGAAAGAGAAGCGACGCAGCAGCGATTTGGGAAACTGGCGTGACTTCTCGTGCTCCTCCGTGTCGAAATTCCCGCCACCGCCGCCGCTGTTATCAAATTGAGAGTCTATTTCTGTCTTTAGGTTGTTGCGTCGTTTGGAGAATTCTGTAGCGTAGTGCGCCGAGAAATATTCAACAAACTTTATCGAAAAACTGTTGTGTGATATACCACGGGCCACATCCGGCGGCAAATTGCTGTTGATGTAGTTAATACATGCTTTTGCAAAGTCGCTAGCTGCAACACGCGCATGACGATCGCAAAACTCCTCCCAACTTGTGCCGTCATTTGTGTAGGATGTGTTACCCCCCACTGCATATCCAGTTCCCATTGGAGCCGGTATCAAATCACTGCCACCCGCAGCACCCAAACTTGTGGTAGGTCCAATGTAGCCGCCCGCGCTAAAAGCGCTTGCGTTGACAGCTGCGCTATTCCCACCCATGTGCACAAAGGACTGCTGCTGTCTGTGTGGGTGGCGGCGCAACTCCGACTCAATATGCCCGTTTATATTCAGTTTGATGCAAGAGTTTCTCCGCTGATGTCTGTGATGTTAAATTTGTACCTAAAATTACACAAATTTAAAAAAAATTTAGTTATATAAAATTTAAATTAATAGTTAATTTAAAATTATTTGAATATTTTTTAAATTCAACGGAATATCCACTAAATACCATTGGTCATTTAACCGGGTTCCCCGCTGGGCGACGGCACTCAATTTGCGTTTACGTTGCTCATTTCGCGTGTTCTTACGTGTACTCTTACGTACTATGTTTATTGTAAATGCTACTTTACGTAAAGCGTAGGCGTATTAACGTATCTACACATATACATACCGCATATCTATGAATGTATGTATGTCGGTGTGTGATATGGCTGCTGTTTTGATTTTGTTTTGCAAATTTGATGATAAGGTGGAGTCAGCGTATTCTGAGTCAAGGCCATTTTAATGTCTTTTATAATTTTCCTTGCTCGTTTGTTGGAATGCAAATCGCTCTTAGCTAAACATGCGTATGTGTGTATTACACCTACACATTACTTCTCGGTGTTAAATTTGTTCATTTGTTCGAATTACACTTACTTGTTACTTATAAAGTTTGCTTACAACCGCGCAACGCACTTTTAAATTAGGGCTTTCACTTTTTTATTATTATTATTCACTTTTCTTTTCTGCTATTATTTTATTTCCCAGAAGAAAAACACAACGCAATATAATCGTTAATCGTACAAACACTAACCGTATCGCTAATCGTTATTTATTTGTCTATCGGCCAACCACCATAACGCCCTTATTATCGGGAAATTCGATTACTCGATGATTAGTATGATTAACCGCCTTTTTAATTTGAATAAAAACTGACCAGACTATTAGAGCAAAATTTGGAAATTTTAATAAATAAAATAAAAATATCTTAACAACATAAAAATTCTTCAGCCAACGAAGGAATAAAAAGATATTTTTTTTTAGGTTTATGTTCAAATCTCACATTTTTATTGTTTCTATATGTCTCGAAATTGCATTTACTTAAAATTAATGTGTAACTACTATGCATATATTTATAGTTATGTAATATTGTTTGTTTTTATATTTTGATCGTTATAAATAATTAAAACTTTTGAAACTTAATTTGTGAAACACACCAAGTGCAACATTTTTGTTTTTATTTTTCTTTTTTTTTAAATATTTATTATTTAAAACGAACACATGCATTTTGGCAAAACATCATATTCATTGTTTAAATGTACGTGTGCAAATTTGAAAGGCCATGGAAATTTATATACTAATGTGTCTGAGGAAGGTTAAACGAATAATGATTTTCAAATGCGGGCGCACTTATAACTATTATTTGTGATTGTGGTTATTAAAATTAAGTATTTACAGAAAATGTCATACTGTTTGATAATTGATTCGAATTGAGAATTACGTAAATTTGCTTTCTCGTATATCATGTGTATGAAAATATTTAAAATGTATTTTAAACCAAGCAAAAAAAAGTTCAATCTCAACAGTTGGTAAAAAAAATAAAAATCACGCTAATACTACAGTATATGCAGGTTAATGTAAATAATAATTCTGCTTAATTCTGTATGATATAGAAGGGCTTCGGAATCTTTCATTTGCATCAAGATCAATACAACGTTTAGCATAAAACTGTTTCAATAGTAGCGTTGTGTAGCAAAATGACATTTTACATTAAATCATACATGCATATTTTTGGGGCTTTCAGAAGTCGTTGTCATTTATATTAAAACTACATAGATTTATTATTCGGTTTTGCTGTTACTTCACTAAATTAGAATTACCTAACTTAAAAAATTTTGATACGTATAATTAAAGAATACGTATTTTATCAAGAGAGAATTCATAGTAGGTGTATTGTGTTTTTCTCTTTCTTCCCTTTTTTCGTTTTGTTTTTAATTCTGTTTAAAGATAGAATACACTCAGACTTCCAATTGTTTTGATGGTTGATGCGCAATAAACGGTTCACTCCACATCCGTCGTAAATCACCCTAAGGAGTCATTATAATATTAAAATTATTTCTTGAGTTTAGGGAGGAGTTCATTTACCTTCAAATAAGCCATTAGTAGCAATGGTAATAACGTGAAGGGTACCAAATAAAGTAAGGCAGGCTGTGCGGCCTTGAACACCTCCGAGCTAACCGTAGCCGTTAGCAGACCCAAAAAATAGCTATAAATACGATAGTAACGAATTGAAAGACCATAAACTATAAGCAATCCATTCGCACAACTTACCCCAATAAGGAACAATGAAAGTATGTCAACTTAGAACCAACACCCTTTGGCGGCGACAGCGTTGGATCCGACGTGAAGCCCTGTGATTTTTTATAGGCATCATATCGTAGCACAAAGCATAGCAATAGTCCGGGCATAACAACGTCGCCTAGGCCGAGCATCGAGAAGTGTCCTGTATTGTGTATGCTGGGGAAAACCAGTTTGCCCGGCAAATTCAGTTTCGGTGTGTCCCGCACAATGCCGCCCAAATTCAATTTGCGCGCCACAATGCCAACGGGATTCTCGGCGGGTCGTGTGGCCACCTTGACCATCACGTTTGTGCTGAATATGTACGATGAAAGAAACACCCAAAACACGTCGTATATCAGTAGACCAGTCAGCAGCAGCGTCGACACCTTCAAGCTTGGCAGCCGCACGAACGCAATGAAGGCAACACAGAGACCCATGCCCATGGCTAAAATGGATCCATTGGATACATAAAAAGTAACGATATAAATAAAGTGACATATTGCGTAGTTTAATTTGTCGTACCATCCATTAACAGCCAGTGCCCAGTTAGCACCCAAACGCACACAATGGAGACTGAGAGCGTGAAGCTGAATAGCTCCGCTGCCGTAAAACGTCCACAGATCCCAAAGGAGAAGCGCTTGCCATCGGTGCAGGGCCGTATAATGTATTGGCACATGGGCAACAGCAGGAAGGCCAGCGCCACAGTGGCAATAACTGTGAATAAATAGTTAATGCGAGCAGTTAAACAGATTATGCATACTATGCTCTACTTACTGGCAGTGCAGACGGCGAACAGCAACTGCATCGAATCAAAGAAGAAGAACATGATGAGCAGCGATATGGAAGCACCCAGTGGCAGGCACAGTGCATGCATTGTATCGAGCGTGGCGAACTTGTCCGCTACATCAAAATTCGAGTCTATTAATTTTTGATATTGCAAGTCAATTAGTAATAATAGCATATGATACGCAAAAGCTTAAGCCTGAATCGAAATATTTCCGGGTGCTTATACGAGTTGTTTACATTATGACCAAAACATTTGGAGTTAATGAGTTATTTATTTACGCGTCGAAAGCAAATAAACATAAATGAAGAAAACGTCTAAGAATCAATGGTTCCGTAAATAAATACGGCTGATAGCTTGTATAATGTGTGTATTAAGTTCATGCTTACTTGGCTCCTTCTCGACCTGCTCGCCTGTTAGCAGATTCGTCATAGACTCGTTGCGTTTCTTCGCCTCGCGCTCCCGTGCCTCCTGCTCAATGTTGAGACTGCGAAAGCTGCCGTAGACAATTAGCAGCATCGATATTAGGCAGGTGGACACACGCGACGAGTCCATCACGCTCGACACAGTCCAATGTAGTTCACGATATTCAGAGCCAGCTGCTGCTGCTGCGGCCGCTGCTGCTGCACCGCCGCCGACACTGCCGCCACCAACGCCGCCACCACCAGTTTGCGCGCCGGCGCTGCCGTGCGACATGCTCGGTCAATGATAAGCGGAAAGATGGCCGCTGCCGCTGCCGCTACGCAGGAGACTATGCGTTCGCTGTGTCGGTGTCGGAGTCGAAATCGGAATCAGGTTTGGGTGCAGTATCAGTCTTCACTATGAATTGTTATCAGCGCACGCAGCTGCCACTGCTTATCTGTAACCTCTGTCGCTGCCGTTGCTGCTGCTGCTGCTTCTGCTGCTACGTTGTTGTCTCTGCGGGCCGCTGGCTGCAATGAAACTGGAATTTGATTTGGCTTATTAAAATTGGGATATGTTGACGGAGCATGTCTGTAGAAGACTTGCTGCTGCTGCTGCTGTGTGTGTGTATGTCTGTCCACTGTTATAATATCCTTATTTACTTTAGTCTATTTGTCTTTGTGTTTTAAGTAACTTTAAACAGCTGCAATCGCAGAAAAGTTGCTTCACACACACACACACACACATACACATTCCCGATTAAGAAACAAACAATGATAAATTATATGATTTTCGCTGAGTACCCGTTTAGCGCTCAGAAGACCTTTAAAGTCGAAAAATCAGCGGAAAGGTTAACTTTCATGCGGGCTAACTTCATACACCCTACCACAAAAGCGGAATAGAGCTAACGAACAACTGTTGCCGGTGTGTGAAAATAAAAACGGGCCTAAGCACAAAGAAGAAGGCCATCAAAAGTCGCTGGAATAAATTATAAAAGTATTACCCAGTTTCTGCTATGCTTTGCCCACTTGACGTTGTCGTTGTTATTGTTGTTGTTGTTGTCGTCGCTGTTGTGGTGGTAGTCAAATGTTATTGTTGCAGCATATTCTATGGTGTATTTACACACGCTCCCGGACTATTCTTTAAATACCCATCTAAGTTATTAAGATCATAAGGTATACATATTTAAGTGTATTTTAATTTGTGATACTCTTAGAAATAGTTTCATTCTTTTATGTATGAAATCTAAACTATATGAAATGATACATCCTCACAAACAATTGTAAGACAGGGTATAACGTAGTCGAGCATCGGAGGCTGTTCTTCAAATGGTCGTTGCACTCGTGCTATGTTAATGCAATGTTACTGTTAATGTTGGCAGCAGCCCGCTGTTAATGATAATAGAGCGATTCGTTAATAGAGAAATGAAGCACAAGACAAAAGCGAAACAGTTGCCAACAACTTCCTAGCTAGTCGTCATTTGTTGTTGTTGTTATGTTGAAGCGGGTTGCCGTTGTGCGGACTAAATAATATGCTTTGTTCGAAATGCAAAGTGTAACATGTTGTCTGAGTGTGTGTATGTGTGTGTGAGGGAGCATGCAAATGATTGAAATATCGGAATGTGTGTGTGTGTGTGTCCCCCTTTTCAATGCAACAATTTAACAGTTCCCACACGTTGCACGCTTGTTGAAATTGTTGAAGCGAGTAAGGGAACGGGACAGGCAGATTATCAGACAATTAGATGTCATCTTCTGATGGGACAGAAGGGGGCTAATTGGAATTATATTATGCGACGACAGTCCAGACGAAAACCGTCTTAATTAATTAAGTCAAATTGAGAAACTATTCCCATTTCCGTACATATGTATGTATGTACATCAAATAAAGACATACACAAGTTCACTTTCGAATGTAACATGTGTTTAATTGTTACCTAAAGTACAAAGTATTTGGTCAGCTCTGACCGCTACTCTAAGCAAACTACTTATACGGAAGGTGAAAGTGAAGCTTGTCTATGAGAAATCACGCTCAAACCTAGCCAAATATCTACATACACAGTCTTCATAGTCTAGGCCATACGATTAGGAACAATCTTTTTTGTTATTGGGAGCTCTTTAAATAATGCTATTTAATTTACACAAAATTAATATATTTATATGTAAAAACAACAAATTTATTTCAAATTAAATTTACATTTTTGTATGAGGGCTGTATAGATGTGCAAATGCGGGTTTCTATGTATGTATGTGTTTGGTTATTTTCACATATGTATGTATGTATCTGTTAAGTTGTGTGCAAGTTGCTGAATTTTGCTTTTTAGCTTTTTGCTTTGATTCAATCGTAAGTTTGCCAAGCAACACACACACATATGCATGCGCTCACTCACACGCACACACTAAACAATAACAACACTCAGCGGCCCGCAACTGGAATCAAATGCAACACTTGTGAAATTTTATGTACACAACATCAAATACCGTAACAACAACAACCAAACTTAAAGCGCAGGCAAAGCTTTAATTTTTTTCTTGTATACAAAATGTTTAGACTCCACTTGAACGGCCGCCGCACCGCTCCACTGCGTAACAAAATTACAACCATACAAACACTCACACATTCACTCACTAACTGTTTGGCTATGTGTGTGTTAAGCAAGGACAGAGCGGAGGTGTGGCAGGGGGGCTGGTCTTTAATTACTAAAACTTAGACGCAAGCAGCAGCAGCCTGTTTCGATTTCATTGCACCTCAAAGTTTTGTACACTATTAGTGGGGCACAATTGGACTAGTGGGGGCGGTTGTGTGAGTAGCGCCTGCTTGGGGGATTGTCAGTGCTTACTTTGCCCTGCGATTCACATTTACATTCGTGTTTGGCTGTGTATTTTGTTTTCCTTTTGTACCGATTTTCTTCTTGTTCAGTGAAAAGCCACAGCTGCTACATGCTTAGTACACACATTTTGATTTTTTTTGTGAATTAGTTGCAGCTAATGCACTTTTCACTGGTTATTCAATAGTTTATTAATAATAATACATTATTTTATTATTTTTCTTTGCACTCCTTTACTGTTTTTTCTGATGGAAAAACAACGAACTACAAGTGTGGCCCAACACCGCGAAGCCATAAATGTTTGCAGTTCATTGACGATATTTACGTATCGATAATAAAAATTGTTCAATCGTTTGTTTGTATTTATCGATATATCTTACATTTAATTTACAATGAGTTAATAAGATCAATAGGATTCACAAGTATCATGTTTAGTATAAAATCATATTTTATTTGGAATTTTCAATAATGAGCTATATTTTAACCAGTGTTGCAAAACGCTTAACTTGGTTTGTAATCGATTGGGATTTTAGTATTCAAGCGATAAGTTGATTAAAGACCATTTGAAACGCGGCCACACTGAGTCAGACGTGATTGAGAGAGCGCCGCTGATGCTTCGATGTACAAATAAAATTTAAATTATTGTTAAATGCAACGCGTTTAACGGAAATAAAACGATTAATAGTGATTTAAGAAAAAAGTGTTATTTTAATTAATTAACGAAAAAACAACCATAAAGAAATTAATTTTAAAAGTGTGCAACTGCAGCGAATAAAAAAAGTGCATTAAAGGCTGCAAGAGGCTAAAGCAAAGCAGCTTGAGTTTAAAACGGCAGGAAGCCCACGGTGTCAAGAAAGCCGTCTTACTAAACGAAAACTGTGCGAAAAAGTTAATTAAACACCATAAAATGGGTCTAAACGGCTGCTGTTCATGTGTTAAATACTTGATGGTCCTTATAAACATCTTATTTTGGGTAGGTATGCAAGCAGACAACAACAACCGTAACAGTAACAACACAGAATCAGACAGCTCACTAATACAAACAGCAACTGGAACACACGAATAGAGATATAGATGGCGCGTTTGAAAGTGTATGTGTGCGCGTTCCCTATGCCTTAGCCTGTGCTCGCGCGCACGCTCTCAACTGCTGCTGCTGCTGCTGCTGCTGCTGCTGCTCACTCCCTACTCCAATAAACAATAGAAGTTCCGTTGTGGGTGGGAGAGTATACGACACCCACTCACACATACACACGCGAAGCACAAATAGGCAGGCAGACAAGCAGCGAAAGCATCGTGCTCTTCGATTTCCCCCCTCATTTGTGCTGCTCCCACACATTGAGATATGCCGTTTGTCTTGTTTTCTTGTTGGCCTTTTCCTGTTGGTTTTTTATTTTTATACGAGTATGCGTGCCTTGTTGTTGTTAGTTTTGAGCGTTGCTTCTTGCTACACCTTCGTTCTTTTCATTTTCTTATCTACAACAAAAGTGAAGCAACGGCTCATTCATTGCTTTAACGCCCGTGTGTATGTATCTATTTACTCGCACACACATATACAGACACATATTTGTAGGGGCAGGACCTACATTTGGCGCCTTTTGGGTGCGCCACTCCCCACAAGCCCACGCTCTCTTATTTTTGCAGTTCCTTCTCACTGAAAGGGTTCAACGAATTGTGTGTATGTGTGTGTAAAAGTGTATTTCTTTTTAGTTTTACGCAATTTACTATTTCCACATTGATTCATCATTTAAGTTCTTATTTGTTTTACGTTGTTTGTGTTTCTTGAGTAAAATTGTATTTTTCAATTTTGTTTCAAAAAAAATTTAGTTGTTATTTTCTTGTTGCTTTTTCGATTTTTCCCTATAGTATTTATTAGTCAAATCTATTTTCGAACAAACCAAAAACAACATTCAGCTTTCATTCTGTGTGGATGTTGATTTTTTCCTCTTGTTGGGGGAGGAGGTGGGAGATTCTTGTTGTTGATCACAGTGGTGCAAATTATTTATGAACTGTGATACAGATATGTATGTGTATGCATATGGTCATTTGAAAATAATAATTAAAATACTATATAAAATCGCTTTGTTCTTTAATGTTTAAGTATGAATAAATTCAAATGTGTATATGTTTCTTATATTTACGTTTATTTTTAAAGTTTGTTTCCCCTATATTTTATTGTTAAATCATTTTGTTACTAACCTAAAATGCTTTAACTATTTTTAATTATGATCAATATGATGATTTAATATAATGATACAATCAGATAGTCGAAAATGAAGAGGTATTCAATACTTTCAGTTAGTTGCAATTTGTTCGTGAATATTAGCAACACTGTGACATAGTTTTCCATAACATTTCCATTTCCATCAGCATCGCCGCTGCGGGGCTTCGTGATCAAGCGGCACGACTTTAGCTGACGCTGATGCTCTGACGTTCCATTGATACTGTCCGACGAGCAGACAGATCGGTCAGATCGACTAACCGCCACAGATGCCGTCATTCAGTTAGAAGCGCTCGGCCTGCCTGCCTGCTTGGCTGGTGGACATTGCTGACGTCTCTCGCATGCCGACCAATTAATTTTGCTCTCCTCCTTCCCTCCTTCATTTTGTTCATAATTCATTGTGCTATTTTTCACACAATTATTCATACTATATACGCTTGCATCATGAACGACAAATAAAAATTAAACGATCAAAGTTGCATAAGGCGAATGTGCCGAGGACATTTTTCTTTTACGATTCCGCTTTCATGTTTATTTACTACGTCCACAGTGATGTAGGTCATGCAAGGAGTTGGTACTTTTATTAAACATTTGGCCTACATTTCATCTGCACGCGACAACGTGTCTGTTTTATATGCACCATGTACTTAAATAACACACATGTAACCAATTTTCTGCCATTCGCAACATTTGTATTTTAGCGCTTTGCGTTTTGTTCCTGTATTCCGATTCATTCATACAAACGGGCAGCAGAATGCACTTTGCTTTGACCTTTTTTTTTTCAACGATTCCGTTTTTCTTATTACTTCGCGCATATCTCTATCTCACTCTCTTTCTCACTTACACTCTGTATTCATTCAATTCGCCAGCGTGCTGAAGAGCGCAAGTGAAAGACCACCCGCATTTAAATAAAGCTTAGGCTATTTTTAGGATTTGTATTTTGCTTTTATGTCAAATTCGGTACATTTTGTGGTTGGAGTGGTATATTTTGCATAAGGGCTTGAAATCAAAATAAATAAAGCTCTTCACTATAGTTAGGAAAATCATAAATAATAATAAATTTCTATCATATAAACATTGATCGGCTAATTTGTCAAGAACATCAACTTTGTCAATTGTTTCACAAAGACTTCGAGTCTTTTTGAGCTCTTTATATAGAGTTCTTTGGTTTATTTTTTGTTGCGGTATTTGTGGTCACAAGTATTAGTAGACTAATTGCAGCATTGCAATTGTAGCTTGTGCAAAGAAGTGGGCCAAGGTCAGCAGAGAATAATTTGATATATATTAAAAAGGCAAAATTTTATATTCAAATTACCGATTTACATTATTTATTGACCGAGTAGCGTTGAGTATACTATGTATTATACAAAAGCAAGCTTGTTGATTAAATAAAACACTTGCTGCAATTCCAGCTAAAGTAAATGAGATTAGTATTGTAGTAAGTACTGAAATGATTGTGTATATCGGCATGTATGCTAGAAATTATATTATAATACCATGTATTTGATATAAATTTCAAACATATCCAATTTCCATAGGAATGCAACATTGATTGATGTTAAGTGCATATTTTGTTTGATATTTAAAACTAATAGTAATTTATTGTCTTACATTACAATAAACTGTAAGTCTAATAGGCATGTTGAGTGTTAAAATGTTACTGAGCATCTCGTATAATGCTAATTGCGATAAGTGAGTGAAAAACTGTATAAATTAATTAACATATAATTGTTGCTGCTTATTAAGAATATAATCTGCTTTGAGTATTGTATATAAAATGAATATGTGTGGACAGATGCCAATATAAACTGGCATATTTCTCGTCCCGTGCCTGATAATCCCCCAGCCCCGAGATAAGGCTATGAATTCGCATTCGCATGGCCGATTGGTTCAATGTCTTGGCAACAACAACGGCAAAACAAAAAGAATATAATATGTGGCTCTTGATTTCGTGAAAACGTAAACACATTAAAACAAATAAACACAAGAATATAACGACATGAAATGCTGGAAACATTTCCAAAGTCTACCCGGCCCGACTGCGGAAATCATGAGTTACGAACGAACCATGTTTCATAATGCCCATCGGCGGATAGACAATGTTCCGGGGAATACGTTCGCATTCTTGGCACGACTCTTGCTGCCCGCTTTAATTGCCGCCCTCTCTAGTGGGGCGTGTCGCAAACACACACATACACACACACATTAGCATTGCGTCATTGAAGCATTTCGCTGTTAGCGTTACGATTGAGATTGAGTAAAGAACACATGACGTTACTTCACCAAATATGAACAGATGAATGCCTGACCTATTTAAGATATTCAGTTTTATTCATTTCTGTTATTCTTTTTCAGCTAATCGGCTTGACCATTGTGCTCACCTCACTATGGATGCTAACGGATCCCACGTTCATGCTATCGATGACACAATCGTATAATCACTATCATATAGCACTCTATGTCTTCCTGGCCATTGGCATACTTATTACTCTGGGCGCATTCTTTGGCTGTTTGGGTGTCTGTCGCGAGTCGCAATGTATGCTTGTTTCGGTGAGTGTTGCCCAGCTGCAGAATCCAATTACGAAATGCAAAGTATCACTCGGCCCACACGTGCTTGGCCCACGCTGTCTGCATTGCCATCGCCCACAAGGCGCATGGAAACCGCAATTCGTTAAATGATTTTGACTGCAGTTTGTTTACTTACGCCCATTAATTAATCAACGGCTTCCTTGCAGTTCTTCTGTGTGATACTCATTGTGATGGTCGCACAAATAGCAGCCGGTGCCTGGGCGTTCCACAACAGAAACAAGCTGGATGACATGGTTCGTGCGGCGGTCAAGTCATCTGTGCAGGAGGAGTATGGACAGTCTAGCATGAGCTCACGCACCGTCACCTTTGATACGCTACAAAAGAATGTAAATAGAATCATTTGAAGGCGAAGCGATTCGCTAAACGAAAATCTCTTTATAGTTGAAATGCTGCGGAGCCGATGGACCTGGTGACTGGGCCACGAGTCGTTTCAATAATGTGGATCGCACGAATATCGTCGATATAGCCGTATCCTCC